TGATGCTTTCAGAGTTCTTTCCAGAGAACACTGAGACCTTATAAATAAGCATATAAAAAGAATATGGATCTAAAAAAATTCAATAAGAAAAAGTTTTTAAATAAGAATGGCAAGGAGGGCAAATATAACTAAAGAATAGGGCTTAAATCTTTTAATAATGGCTGAAATTACTGAAATGATGGGAGTCATGGCTATTGGTAAAGTGCATCTCATAAGCAGGGAAGGACACGTTTGTCTGCTTTTGTGTTACTGAAGGGACAGGAAGAAAGAAAAAAACCCCACAAACCTCTGAATTTAGTTATTATTGAAGCTTTAGGTCTGAACTGAAGAAAGTGAAGGTAGAATATCAATTGTTCACATGAAAAAAGATTGAAAAGGGAGTTCAAAACTATAATTACAATGTCAGACACATTTATACCTGATACCTCTTTCTAGCAGTATATTGTGGCCATTAAGAGCACCAACTCTGGAGTCAGACCTGCCAACTCTGGAGTCAGATTTGGTAAAAATTATGTATTACCTCCTTTAATCCTCAGAAAACTTTTATTATGCCCATCTTGCAGATGAACAGTGAGGTCCAGGATAGTATATAATATATCCAAGGTTGTAGAGCTAATAAATGTCAGGGCCGAACTTTGAACTCAGACAACATGGATCTATTCTGTGTTCTCTTTAACTACTATATGGCACTGGCTTCCATGGAACGGGACTCATGACAGAATACAGAGATGAACAAAAACACTCTGGATAGTTAAAAGGGGGAAAACTGACTCCTATTTCACACTGTACATAAAAAATCAGTTTCAAATGGACTCTGGATCTAAATGTGAAAAGCAGAAGGAAAAAAAGATCTAAAGACACTCAAGATTACCTTTATAACCATGAGTAGTAAACAATTTCTTAAACAGAAAACAAAACACACAAACCATAAAGGAAATGAAAGATTAGGTTGAACATATTTAACTTCAGAACTTTTATTCTTCAAAATCATTTGGGAGCGAAAACAAGTAAGGAGTTGAAGAGATTTGCTATACATATAACAAAGGGTTCATAATCAGTAAACTAAAAATCAAAATAAAAAGTCATAAATCAGTGAAAAAGATAAGGCTTCAAATGGCCAATAAACATGAAAAAAAAACTGTTGAACCTCACTAGTAATCAGGCAAATGCATAATAAAACCATGGGACACCACTACACACATAACACAATGGCTATAATTACACAAATTGACAGACTGAATGTTCGTAAAAGTGTGGAACTGTGAGAACTCTATAACACTGCTGGTGATACTATAAAAAACTGATTTGAAAAACAAACTTTATCTATTAAAGTTAAATATACGTATGTCCCATGATCTAGTATTTCCACTCAAAGATCATCACCAACATATGCGTATGTACAACAAAAGACTTGTACAGCAATATTCAGTATAGTATTATCATAATAGTCCAAAACAGAAAATAATCCAAATGCCTAACAAGTGATGACTAAATAAGATATATGTTCATATAGACTATAGTTCAATGAAAATGAGTGAACTATAGACATAAAGGATAAGTCTCATAAATTTAACAGTGATATTGGCTAGGCAAAAAATACATACTGTATAATTCCACAAAGTTCAAAAAAGGCCCAAAACTACAAGATTATAAATCAACACTCTTGGGGAGGGCAGAAGGATTGAGAAGAGGTACCAGGAGAGCTCCCTTTTCAATCTTTTCTCATGTGAGAAGAGGTACCAGGAAAGCCTCTCCCACCTCCGTGGCAGTCAGACATCCTCCGAGGGCTCCCAGACTGCGAGAGGGTGCAGGCCGGGCTGAGAAACCACCCACAAGGGTAGCTTCCCCAGAAGCTTAAACTTTATACTCCACAGGGGTCCAAGGAAGGGGAGATAGGCACATGCCCAATAAAGTTGGGGTGACATAGGAAAGGTGCTTGCTGTCAGAGCTGAGAACAAAAGTCATTGGCCAGAATGGGCACAGCCATTGCAAGGGCATGAAATCTGGGATATTTAATCCCTTGAACAAAGGAGTTCACACACTCTAGGGACTCTTGGGACTTGTGTGACTCTGGGTTTGTGGGGCAACCCTTACATCCCACACAACAATGGACTAATGGACTGCAACTAGCCTGATACTGAACTGGACCCAGCTCAACATGGAAAGGAAACTTTGGCTATTGGCTTTGCTTCCAGCTTTACTAAAACTCCACCTCCACTTCTTCTATGACTGGACTAAGAGAAATGGGACTTTGGAAACCCAGGGATGTAATTCTACACAAATAAAAATCACCCATCCTCCCATGCAAGTCTCAGAAAATTCTTTTTCTTGAGATACTGTAAAAATTCCACCACCACCAGCACCCAGTGGGGAAGAGAACTTCCCATTTTCTCCGATAACAAAACTGCATTTGAAGAAGCAGTCAACAAAATATTTATAAATATGACTTACATCCCAACAGAGCTAACATTCTGTATTATATACATAAAATAAAAATAGTTGCATTGAATGATGTAATCATGGAAGCATTTAATTTTTTAATCTTCCCAAGCTTCTCCAAACAAAAGTACAAAAACAAAGAAACAGCACCAAAACCAAATTAACAGAAAACAAGACCAAAGAAGACAACTTCAAAAAACTATACAGCAGGTAATTTTCCAAAACCCTAGAATATAGTTGTATCAACAACAGAAGGACCTAAAAAAGACCAACAGCTGTGAGGTAGGAACAACAGGAAGTAAAAGAGGACAATCTACTACTCTATAAGCACAGAGAGAAAAAAAAAGTGTAAACTGATGAATCTGCCAATGGCCTGCAAAACCAGGACAGTCTCAAAGGCTACAGATCAAAGCTATGCAAGTGTAACATTAAACAAGTCTAATAGTCAGACCTAAAAATCTCTGAAATATCTAGTAAATACCCTCTTCCAAAGGGGAAAGAAAAACAACTAAACAAAACAAACAAAAAACAACCCACCTCAGACAGAAAGAAAATTACTGGAATCTGAAACCAAACTGACAAAGACAAACCCTGGGGGTAAGAAGAGGAGAGATGGTTTAGAAAAGGTAGTCATGCCCAGAGGCACCAAATCCCAGAAGAAAACAAAACAAAAAAACTAACAATAAAACCCAACATTTAAAAATGAAAGCAACACCTCAAAATTTAAGATCTATAGAGATCTAGGGGTAGAACAGAGGGGTGGAACCAAAATGTATTTCTGAATTAGACCTACTCTGACATAAGCTGAATATACAAAGAGGTCATATTTGAGTTCTCCTTAACAGAGAAGAAGAGGAAGCTACAGAGAAGTCAAGTTGGAAAAGTTATCCTATTCTCTCTCTGATTCCCTAAAACTTTCTAATAGCCAAGGAAAATTGTCTCCCTGAAACATGGAGAATAAGAAAAAGAATATAAAGAAACTCCATAAGAATTATTAAAGAGAAAAATAAGAAAACGACAGAAAAAAATATAGGAAAAAAATGAATAATATAGAACATGAGAAAAGAGAGCCAATAGACCAGTGGTTCTCAACCTTCCTAATGCCGCAACCCTTTAATAAAGTTCCTCATGTTGTGGTGACCCCCAACCATAAAATTATTTTCGTTGCTACTTCATAACTGTAATTTTGCTACTGTTATGAATCATAATGTAAATATCTGATATGCAGGATGTATTTTCATTGTTACAAATTGACCATAATTAAAGCATAGTGATTAATCACAGAAACAATATGTAATTATATATGTGTTTTCCGATGGTCTTAGGCGACCCCTGTGAAAGGGTCGTTTGATCCCCAAAGGGGTCGCGACCCACAGGTTGAGAACTGCTGCAATAGACTTATAATTGGAGACCTGAAAAAGAAAACTTAAGCCTTAACTGGTTTGGCTCAATGGATAGAGTGTCAGCCTGAGGACTGAAGGGTCCTGGATTTGATTCCAGTCAAGGGCACATGCCCGGGTGGCAGGCTAAATCCCCATTAGGGGCATGCAGGAGGCAGCCAATCGATGATTCTCCCTCATCATTGATGTTTCTATCTCTTTCTCCCTCTTCCTTCCTCTCTGAAATCAATAAAAATATATATTTTTTAAAAAGAAAAAGAAAACCTAAGCAAACAATAAAGTATTTAAAATTATAATTTTAAAAGCAAATTCCTCAAATTAAAAGAAGACTAATATCCACATATTAAAGGGTCTATTGTATATTTGAAAAATTAACCCGAGAATAATCAACAAAACATACTGTAGTGCTTTAAAAATAAATAAAACATTCCTTAGGAGAACCCAGACAAAAAGTCTAAGTTACTTATTAGGGAAAGAAAATCAGGATGGTGTCAGATTTCTTGACAGAAATATTTTATCCTAAAAAACAATGGAACAATATGTTTAAAAGACAGTTTTGTAAGCTTCATAAAGGTTTCATAAAAAGCCAAATCATCCTTCAAATATAAAGACTATAGACAGATAAGTTGTAACATGCAAGATGTAAGAAGATATGTTTTTCCATGAGGCCTTCTTGAAGAATCTCCTAGGTATGAGCTTCAGAAAATCAGGTAAGATATGACATGTAAGGCGAGTACATAAACTGTTAAATAGTCTGATTAGTTTACTTTTGGCTTTTCTTTCCTTTTTCATTATTTGAGATACCTCTAACAAATAGCACACGCACATACCCAATTTGCTTCTGAAATGCATCCTGAAATTTGTTTATCCTTTCTGGATTTTTCACAATTACTTTTTATTTGCCAAATACAGAACTACTGAGATTTCTAGATGGTGAGACTAATTATGAGATCATAATAGTAACAGGCTCCTCTAGGGAAAAAAAAAAAGTTATTCTACAACTACAAGTTCATTCTGTAGTTAAAACACATTTGATAAAGGCCCAAAGGCATAAAAGTCCAATGATGGACATTTGGCTTTGTACTTTGTAGAAACAAAAACAACTAAAACATACAATACATTAACTGACCTATATCATAAAATAAAACTATTAATACTAACCTGATAAGCTCTGTTTATTTGACTAGCTGCCCAACTAGCATATTTCATGTTGTCCTTTTTTGTTTTTGCACTTGCTTTTGGATTAGAAGCAATATGACTTGCCGACTAAAAACAAAAAGGAAACATCAAAAACGAAATGCCATTTTTCTATCAAGATAATAAAAAACATGTAAGGTCACAGTTGCAATGGGATAACAAAGTTTTAAAAATTGTACCAACACAATTTGTTTTTAGAATAAATATAAATTTAAATAAAATTGCAGTGTTTAAAAATGACAATATGTTTTAAAATAATGAATAATCCAAATAGAAAAGAGAAAGGATACTTTAAAAAATATCGAAAATTATTTTATTAGTTGTCTACCACAGCTCTTAAGGGTAAAATTCCATGTCTTTTCTGAAAAGTATTTCATTTGTTTCTTCCTGACTCTATCTCTGCAATCAATTCTTTTCATTCATCCGAAAGTCCATAAAAAGACTAGGATAAATTAAAATTTCAAAGAACTGGCTTATTAAAGGAAAGTTTATTTTTCCAGGCATTTTGATTGTAGAGAGGGGCTCATTTTATATATATTTTAAAGCTCAGCAAATTCTTCCTACCCCAAAGCTCTTGTTAATTTACTTTTCTAAGCTTGTCACTTGGCATACACAAATAATGGGAATATTTAATTACATGCTTCCCACAACTTCCAAACTGGTTTTCTATACCATAAAAAAATGGTTTAATTTGACATTAAAGATTTTATTTCTAATATGTCTTTTATTGTCATAGTTTAAAAATATCTCATACAATTTTAATTTAAGGTAAGAACCATAACAATGTTGGGAATAAATCCAAGAATATCAAAACAATTAAGAAATAGATAATATGGATTTTTATCAGTTACTATTTAATTTTATAAGGGAATATATCACTTCTGATACAATAAAAAATATTTTACAATGAAATGTCAAATAGATGGGATATATTAACATTCAAAAATAAAATTATGTTATAACCTATTACTCATAGTTAACTAGAAGGAAAAATGCATATGCTTATCAAAGAAAAAAAACAAGAAAGCAGTGATTGAATAGGATAGTTAATGGAGTTTAAATGACAGATTTGGTAAAATAACATTAAACATGCACCTTAACTCACCATGTAAAGTCCAAACAAAGCTCTCATATTTCTGTTGTTCAGTTTCAATGCCTGTGCAAAATACTTTCTTGAAAGTTCAAGGTTTTCAAGTCCACCTTGGGTATATTTAACCTGTTAAAAATTTCAGAGTGCTGAAACTTGTTTATTTTACTACTTTGAAATATAGCATGTTTCATCATACCAGCGGCATTAGTAACTGAAACAGATATTCTGTAAACAAATACAAGATGTTTAAAAATTTTCATCTTAAAGTTGTTAAAGTTAATCTAAAGTTTAAAGCATAACCTTCCCCAAAAAACTATTCTATTAACAGTCCTCAATAATGAAGTCCTTTTAACCTTACAGCATTGAATTATATTGCTATCCTTAATACTTAATGACAAATACCTGCTACTTCCCAAAATGCTGACCTTGATATGAATTTTCTAGAACATAAATTTAAAAAATCATAATCACTGTCAATGTTTTATAAGTTATTAAATGGTGACAACTGTGGCATAATTTGTAATTCAAAAAGAAAATAGTATACAAATAAAAAATACAAAGGATTTCACTGTTTTAAGCAGTGCTTTTAACTGAGAAGTCACTATTTCCATTACAGTATTAAAAATTTAAAACTTTTACTCCAAGTCAATTTTCATCAAACGCTTTAAATATTAATATACTTGCCTAACATTAATGACATAATCTTAGTTCCATTATAATACCCAAACCAACAAAAATAAAATCACATACAATTGCTGTTTTTGAAAACACTTACTTCAGCATATTGCTGGCAGTATAAGTGGTTGTGTGGATTAGTCATCATAAGCTCCTCTAAACAAAAGGCTGCTTTAGCATAGCTGAAAAATATCAAGGAGAAATTAAAAGTAACAAATTTTATCTTAGTTTTGTCTTAAAATAGTTTTAAAACAAGTTTAGTGATGTTAGACATTTTATTCCCTCAATAACTGAAATAGCTTTATTATTAATAAAGGACTTACCCTGAATTCATAAATATAAATATTTAGTTTTTTACTGAAATAAACAAAGGCTTAAATCCTAAAGCAGCCCATGAATAATCAATATATGGTTATATTTTTTAAAAATAGGTTACTACTATGACATTCAAATATTATTAACAACATAGGCTTCAAGACCTTGGATCAAATTACATATACAATAACTTCTAGAATTCCACAAATCATTTAATAAAATAATCAAATAGCTAAAGTGTAAGGAGGAAATAAACATTTTATTAAATACCCTCTATTCATTAAAAATCCTTTACAGACATAAATTTATCAACATATTCTATTACAAAGACTTGTCATTAGTTAAGTGTACTGTAAAATACAAAATCATAATAAAGTCATAAATTTCTAAACCTATAAAAAATAGACTTAGTGGCTTTGATATACACTCTGCTACTATTTAATCACGTGGTAGAGAAACAAAAATCTTGCTGAAAACCTAAGGAGAGAACTACTGCAAAGGGTTCTGGAAAAAATGGTTTTACACCAGGTAACTACAATTCCCTTCAATGTATTTTATGTTTAAAGTCATGTGACTATACTCACTATTTATAAGAAATTCTAAAGAATACAGGTGTCCTAAGATTTATTCACAGTGAGGAGGTGATGAGCGTACCAATTAGAAAAAGGTTATCTACGATTATTTTTGGCATTTGTCACCGATATCCTATCTTTAAACTAGTATCTGATATACTTACTTTTCAAAATATACATGTTGCAGTTTCACACATGTGACTAATAAGAACTAACTTTTTTAAAAATATGTTTTATGATTTGAGAGAGAGAGAGGAAGGGAGAGAGAAATATTGATGTGAAAGAAAAATGTCAACTACCTCCTATAAACCCCGACCAGGAATCAAACTCGCAACCTTTCAGTGCACAGGACAACGTTCCAACCAACTGATTCAACCAGCAAGGGCAAAATCTAACTCATATCACATCTTCACTATGTATTATTTTCTAGGTATTAGAAGTATTAACTCATCTAATCCTACCAAAACCCTAGGAAATAGAAAATTAATATCACCATTCTATAGTTAAGAACACTGAGGCGCAAAGATTAAGCTGAAACCCAGGCTGTGCCACTCCAGATAGTCTACACTCTTAACCACTATGCATACTGCCTATAAGCACTACACACCACAATGGAAAGTTGTGGTGGTGATGTTAGTAAAGAAGATTGAATGACAACATAAAGACAGGAACAACAATCAAATCCAAAGGGTCTGAGGAACCAAAACTGCATGCATATTACCCCCAAATCACAGTATTTTATATTTATGAAGGTTCTTATAAATAGACTAGAGGCCTGGTGCACGAAAGTCATGTATGGGTAGGGTCCCTAGGTCTGGCCAGCGATCAAGGCCGTTGGGGCCTTCCTTTGTTCCGCGCTGCCCCCTCGTGGTCAGCGCACATCATAGCGAGTGGTCAAACACCCAGTTGGTTGAACTACCGAGGGGACAATTTGCATATTTGCCTTTTATTATATAGGATTCTCATCAAAGATCATGCAGCTGTTTAGCCCTTTCATTTTTATATCCAAAACCAGTTCTTGACATATGATAGGTATATAATGGGTGCCTGGATAAATGAGTGAACAAATAACTGAATTAATGTCTAGAACAACAAAAGTGTTGATATGTAATTATCTATCTGATATGTATTTATTATTCTGTAAGACAAGGGAAAGTGGCCTCTAAACACCTAACTTCATCAAAAAGACAGTTCCCTTCTAAATGTTTCTTTTACTAAATTAAGTTTTTAAAAGTTCTTCTGATCCTCACAAAAGCCTATGTATAGGTTACATATTTGTCCCTAGACTGCTTTATCAACATTATTTTTCCTTATAACATTTTAATAATTCTATTTGTTATGAAATTTTACAATAAGGCTAGGCCTACAAAAAGGAACCATAATCACTATCATAATTAATTTATAATACTAGCTGGTTCTTACTGATACAACATCTAGTTTTAACTACAAATCAAGTAAAAAACTTAAGTGTCTGTTTAAAATATGTATTTTTGTTTTATAATATGTATTGGTAATGCTAACAATACACATTATAAACAAAAATATATATGTTATATATATTATATTGTTTTATATTTAAAGCAAGTAAAGTTCTCAACATGGACAATTGGTATAACATATACCACTTGAATAACTAAATACACACTAGAATTTATAAATCAGAAGCAAACTTAAATAAAGGTAACATAAAGATATAAAAAAATTCATGGCAGAATTCTATTTTCCCTTTTCTCTCTCTGTACTGAATAGGCTTATAGGAATATTCTACTGTGAAAATTTAGAGTAAAACATTCTAGATTTACACTAGCAATGCTGCCTGTGACCTATTATATTTAAAATAGCTTATAAACTATTCATATGCAGAAAATGCCAAAATGTTAAATATATCTAGCAATTACTAAATTGCTACATTTTGCCACTGTGTCCATAAAACTGTGCTAAGCTGACATCCCACAATAATTTACCACACACACACAAAAATCCTACCTACTATAATGACTTGCCCAAACAAAATGAATTAAGTGAACAGATTCTGATTTTCATTTCAAAAAATGTGAAGATATTTATTTCTAAGTACTGTACATCTGAATATTTCTTCTAAGTTCTCAATTCAAAAAAAATGGTTATTTTGTGAATGAATACCTTTAAGAACAAAAAGAGTTTTGTGATACAGGATAAAAGGGAAAGCTGAACACAATTATCATTTCCTCTGAAAAGAAATTTTTCAGGTGCTTTTCTGTCTTCGTAGTTTTCAATTTCTTGGGATTTTTTTTATTTCTCTTAAGTGTACATTCAACTCTACGTCAATAAACTCTTTAGAGATTCAAAACAAAGCAAAACTAAATGTGGGCATTACAAGATGAAGCGAATATTAAATTTAATGATGGGTTAAACATAAAGTATAACCTATTTGAGAATTAAATAAAGAAATATTAGAAACATGCAAAAGAGAGGTGGTATGTTTGTATAGTTCTTAGAGGACAGAAAATATACAAGCAATGAAAATGGATATATCTGACCATCTAAAAATAAAACCTGTTTTTTAAAAATCAATATTAAAAAAACAGAACTACCAAGCACATATTTCTGAAAGAACAAATCTTCCAATCATTTATATAAAGAGCTCTAAAATAAATTTTTTTAAGGTATAAATAATTTTCACCTAAGAAAATTTGCAAAGATTAAAAAGAATGATAGCACCCAATGTTGTTAAAAGGGATACTAATAATAGCTGGTTTGAGAGTGAACTAGGAACAAGTTATCAAAATCCCTGAAAATGTATATATCATTTAATCAAGTAATTCTACTTCTAAGAATGTAGCCCAAAGAAACAATTAAAATAAATCAGTATAGCATTATAGTGGAAATGAAAAACAACCTTTATATTCACTTAGAAAATTAGTTAAGAAAATTAGATTACATTTAATAAGATGGAATAATATAAAGCCACTGAAATCACACTGTGGAATGTTTACTGTGATAAAAAAATTTTGACACTATAACTAAGTGAAAAACATTAGGCCACAAAAGATAATTCTATTTTAGGTTTCTGTGTGTCTCAAAAGGTATTAAAAAATAAAAAATAAACTACAGTTAATTTCAGATGATTCAAGTAACACATGACTTTTGTCTTCATCTTTACTCTTTATTGAGTTTTCCAAATTTTTCTGCATTAGGTATTCCTTTAATTAATAAAATAATTTCCTTGATGATTTGAAATGTGTTTAAATGCTTTTAATCACAGATCTCCATACGGCACAAAAATATTTTAGATGACTATCATCTGTCTTACCAACAAAATAAAACTTAAATTTTTTTTTACTGCATTCTGAAAATTCAGTTCATGTTATTTAAAATATATACTGTATACTTCATAAATATGGATTTAAAAAATAAGAAAATGACATTATTACCATTTAAACCAAATGGTAATAATTATCAAATGGTAATTTGGTTTAATTACCAATCTCACATGCATAAGAGAATCCTAAATATGGTCACATATGTGGATATACAAGTATACACACATCTATAATGAACATGATTTGGAAAATAATTTCCTAAGGGAAACTAAAGAGAATCTGAGAGTCAAAATATGGTAGAGAACTGGAGACTGCTTCCCAGAATATAGTACATTCATTAAATGATGCTATAATTTTAATTTTAGCCCCCAATAATCTCAGAATTATGCAGTTAACTACTTTAATTCTCCATTTCACATTTTACATATAAAGCCCTGAACAAAGGCAAGAAGCAAGTGTCTTCATTCTATTTTATTTCCTGTGTCAGCTATTTGTAGTATGAGAATGAGATTAACTATTCATGCATAGTAAGAGATGTGCATAAGAATCTGATTCTATTCTCTCTATAAGAAGGAAAGAAACAATGTGATATACTTCAGATTCAGAAGAACTAAGGGGGGGTGGGGCGCTTGCCTCTGGATGGAGGTTAGCATTAATGCTGTGTTATTAGAAAACTTGCACTAAGACTGGGCTAATCCTCTCACACTGGGATTTCCTCCTGTCACTGCAGCAATAAAAAAGCTAACAAAAACATTAAATATCCAATAAGCCAGTTCCTACAGCATTCAACATTCTTGATTATTCTTGGTTTTTTACCCAGGCAACAGGATGCTTCTCTACTTTAGAAGACTTGATTCTCTTAGTACTAAGGCTAATAAATGCATACAATTGACAGAATTTTTAAACAGCAGAGAGTATAATACTCTTTGTATTATAAGAATAATTTGAACTCTAAAAATTCACAATTTTGATTCACTAAAATAACCTTAGCTCAGCAAATGCAGGCCTTTCTAATTCCAAAGAATGCCTTATGCATTTTAAAGAAAAACTTATTTCCCCAACAAAAATAATTTAGTAAAAAACAAATGACCAAGTTAAAACAATCCACATATTATATCCAACAAATCATGGATTTGTTATTTTTTCATTTAACTATTTATTTTGTTCATTTAAAATGGCGTGATTCATACCTTCTCACCAATCCTTGGGAAACCACTAGACCTTTTGAACTTAGACAGTGATGAAAACTGCACTCCTAACAAAATTGTATGCGTACTTAACAACTTACTCATGTTCATTGATATAAAGTTCTGCAAGTTCATGCCAGGCTTCTTGGTCTCCAACAAATCTGGTGAGGGAAAAGGACAAAAAGAGTGTATAGATATTTGGTAAATAAACAGCATGTGGGCAAAAAGGAAAATCAATGCAAATTCCATTTTAATTAAAAAAGATTTCTCAGAACAACAACACACATTCCTCTTGAAAACACTCACTGTTCCAGATATTCATTCAGTTCCCGAATGGCCTCCACATTTTTTCCCTGGGCTTTTCGAATGGCAATCTTACGCTTTCTTGCAGCCTATGGGTTGACATTAATAAAGGATTAGGCGCTCATGATTCCCTGGGTTTTTGTAAAGAAGGTAATTTGACTGTGCAAATTATTATCTCAATGCCAGTGAAACTCTATTGTAGAACTACTGCTTAGTGGAGATTTATAAACATACCCCATGACATCCCACCGGGGAATTCAAACATTCCTCTAACAATCACATATGCTTTACTTTTGATGTACACATATATGCATCATTTCATTCAAATAAATAACCATCCAGATTCTGATAATTACAAGCCAGCAGGGAATCTTAATCTTTATCCACCCTAAAATCCTTTACTCTGTCTCATTCATAGATCTGTATCTTAAGAGACAGAGGAATAGTTGAGATTAAGAAAAAAAAATCTCACCATGGCCACTTGAATGCCATTATACAAATATGGCTTCTAATAACTTTTTCACAATTTTAAGAGAACAATCTACTTATGAGTCTTTCAAATGAATAATATAGGCCTGAAAGACATATTTTTAAATAGACACAACAGTTAAACTTGCATTTTAAAGTTTTTTAAATGATAAATATCAAAATCAGGGGAGGGAAATGGGTGGAGGGGGGTAAACAGGAAAAAAAGGGGACATCTGTAATATTTTCAACAAAGTTAAAAAAAGATTTTTTAAAAAAATCAATGACATTTATTTATTCATTCATCAAATATGTACTGGACATCTACTATATGATAGGTACTATGCTAGACAATAAAAATATAAAAAGATACATCAATAAAAGAAAAACAATAATAGAGTATTCTAGAGAGTGTTGTGATGGAGTAGATCCTAACATGCCTGTAGCAGAGTGGAAGAGATGGAAGGTCAGGAAACAAAGAGGGTCCCAAATGTGACACCTGAACTGAAATAGAAAGGCAAGTAGACATTAAGAAAGCAAAAGAGGAAATAGTGTGGAAGACATTGCATAATAGGAGGAACACTGGAGCAAAGGCATAGGAGACAGCGATATTGTGTGTAATCAAGACTATGCACTAAGGCTGCAGTGAACAGTCTGGGACTGGAGGGCATTATATGAATTATTAAATTTACAACCCCTCCATCTCTGTTTATTTTATTCAATGCAGAAGGCTAAACAATAAAACACACTAGGACCAGATTTAAGCTTATTAATTATAATTATTGTTACTTTTTTATATAAAACATACTCCACAAGATGCAGACAATGGAAGTAAAATAGATGGATCCTCTTTAGACTAACGGAGCTACCTGTCAAGGAGGGAGAAAGGTGGGAGATTTTGCTCTGAAGAAGTAAGAATCAAAAACAAAACAAAACAGAGAAAAATCAAGAGACTCTCCAGTGAGACCAAGAGCAGTATTTACAATAATAGCAATAACAATATTTCAGTAACAAAAAAAATAACCTACATGTTAAAAATGTGCATCTTCGAATATTTGGCTCAGGCCAACGGCCTAACACAATGCCTGCCACCCAGAAGGTACTCAAACATATTTAAAATAATTTCAGTATGTAAAACAATGAAAGCACCAGAATATATGTAAAATTTAGAAAGTCTCAAGAATTTATAAGAAATGTAGAAGTAAAGTTGTAAAAGTAACGCAATCCTAGAGCCTTTAGTGAAAATATTAAACTTCAAATGAAAGCATTATTCGAAGCCCTTCTGAAAACAGGTGAGGAATAAATTACCATGTAATTAAGAAACTAATTTCTTTTGGACATATAATACTTAATTTCACCAATCCAACAGCATTTGAAACAAATTTAATTGTTTATTCTTTTCATTTTTTATGATACTTATTCCATACGGTAGAGCACAGAGTCCAGATTTTGGAAAAAAAAGAAACTAAAGCCCAACTATTCTCACTTATCAGCTTTCTAATCAAGGGCAAGATATTTATTGTTCACAAACCTAAGTAATATCACCAATCTCCAAGGATCACTGTAAAGCAACTAAAATAATATGCAGAATATAATGGTATTAATTAAATGAATGCTATCTTCCTTCTTTATACCTTTGCTTTGTGCTTAACATCTGTGTTTTAAGCCTTGCCAAAAGCTCTACTTATGAGATCTTTAAAGAACTGGCACAGGCTTGCTTAGTTTGATATTGATATCTTACCCCAAACCTTACAGGATTTGCACCAGCTGAGATGAGATAATTTATATAGATACAATGAAACGTGTTGAAAATAGTGCATCCAAGTATCACAATTCAGACAAAAGTCAAAGTATAAACCTGGATGGCAACTAATACTTCTACAGTCATAATAAGAGGTACGGTATGAACACTGTAATGGACACCACTATGCAGAGTATGAGTTTCTTGAAGAAAGGTGTACTAAAAACACCAGTCTAATGTTGTTAACCTCATTTTCTCAGTGATTTGAAACAGAACCATTTCTCTATTGTCGAACATACATCAATATTTTTAGGTCAGCAGCATTCTGCAGAATATAGTTTATAAAGCACTCCTATAGTGTTTCAAGGATAATTAATCTTTTAAAATGTCTTTTAAAAACAATTCTTTTTCTAAATGATGGAAAACAGAGGTTTAAACAACATAAATGCATCAAAAGAGATCAAATTAGAAGATCTGAAATTTCTGATTCGAATCCTAGATCCTCCTATAAAACTACTTGAAAGAATCTGAAATATTTCAAATTAAATAATGTTCTTTTGAATTATGTGTATTCCTGGTGAAATATAATTTTATAATGTAAAACAAACAAATTCAGTATTAAATTTGTAATAGCCTACTTTAAAAACTGTTGTCTACCTAATACACACTTCACAGTGAGGTATAAGAAAAGATTTTAAATATGGAGCTTTACTAATCAATTTGAGAAACATGCCCAAAAAAATCTCTACTATATGAGCAATATAGTGCTTAATCATGTAAAACCAAAGGTATAGCATTTTATCTCCTAATATTCTGAAGTTTAAAACAAGTTTTTAAGTGGTAACTATTCAAGTATGTAAAGCTAGTTTTCCTAATGTGAGAGCTTAAAAACCACCTGCATGGCAATTACTATCATACAGGGTATAATAATTTATTACTAAGTCACATAATATACAGCCCTTTCCAGGTTTTGAGAAAAATAACACCATGTTCTGACATAAGAACCAATCTTTATTTATCTTAATCATTTAAAGGAACATTAAGTAGGGATTTCATTTCTGGTCAAGATGATGTAACAGGGACCAGATTTACCTGCTTGTCTGAAACAACCAAAGAACTGGACTAAATACATGAAACCTTGTATTCAGGGAGAGGGAGGGGGATAGGGAGGGGGAAGGGGAGAGAGAGAGGGGGGAGGGGAAGGAGGAGTGTGAAGGGGAGGAAGAAGGAGAAAGAGAGACATTGATTGTTTGCCTCCCGAAAGCACCCCTACCAGGGCTGGGGAACCTGCATCCAAAGTACGTGCCCTTGACCTGGAATCAAACCTGAGACCACATGGTCCACAGGTCAACGCTCTAACCCCTGAGTAAACCAGCCAGGGCCATGAAACAACCATTTTAAACTGCAGGACAATTGGCAGCAAAAGACAGTAATTCCTGAGAGGCAGGAAACAAATGAGGTGAGCCCTATTTTTATTGCCCTGGCTTGCTGCCTTAAGAGAGTTTCAAGGGTGCTGTGCAGAGAGGAAGAAAACCAGATTGAGCCCAGCAGACTCTGAGATCAGAAGGAGCTGAGAGTAGAAAGATCAAAGAGGCTAGCATTAATAGGCTAGAGTACTGGAGGGAAAAAAACACAAGACAGAATAAAGACACTGGAAGTTCCCCTTGAGGAGTACTCAGCTTGGTATTGATCAGTGCATGTGTGTGAAGAAACTACCCAAGGCCAAGGAAAGAACCATCAAAAAGGTTTTGGGAGCCCAGCCAGTGTGGCTCAGTGGTTGAGTGTATGAACCAGGAGATCACCGTTTGATTTGGGTCAGGGCACATGCCCAGGTTGTGGGCTCGATCCCCAGTGTGGAGCGTGCAGGAGACAGCCAATCAATGATTCTCTCTCATTGATGTTTCTATCTCTCCCTCTCCCTTCCTCTCTGATATCAATAAAAATATACTTTAAAAAAAAAAAAAAAGGTTTTGGGGAGCCCTGGCTGATATAGCTCAGTTGGTTGGGATGATGCACCAAAAGGTCACGTGTTTGATGCCTGGGTTACAGATTCAGTCTCTGGTCGGAGTGCAGCTGGAGGCAACCAGTCAATGTTTCTCAGATCATCTCTCTCTCTCTCTCTCTCTCTCTCTCTCTCTCTCTCTCCCCCCCCCACCCTCCTACCTCCCTCCCTTTCTCTCTCCTTTCCCCTCTCTCTCTAAAATCAATAAAAACATATTTTAAAAAAAATATTCAACATCACTCATAATATAAATTATAATAACAAGGTAACATTTTAATCAATCAGACTAGCAAAAGTTAAACATGCCATGTGGGAGGATACAGTGAGAGAAGCATCTCCTCCACCATAGAAATGACTGTAGACAGCTAAAAAAAAAACCTTTGTGGAGGGAAATTTGGTAACTCCTATCAAAACTTAAAATGCATGTAACTTCCTGACAGATATTTTACTCCAGGAATCTATCCTACAAACAACATCCACTGCAACACTATTTCTGGGAGGAAGACATCAGAATCAACCTAAGAGTTCGCCAAAAGGGTCTTAAGTAAAACTGTTTTTCATGAAGACAGACTATACATCCATGCAATGCAATGCTATGCAATGCAGCTTCTCAAAGGATGATATAAAGGTTGTGCTGACATGGCATGACCTTTAAAATACACTGCTAGGTAAAGTATGCCACCATTTGCATTTTCAGCAATTCTCCCTATCAAAAGGAGAATACATAAACGTGTGCACATATCAGTAAGTGTATGAGAAAAAAATTATCTAGAAAAATACATAAGAAATTACTAACAAATGTTTGACTAAGTGAAGGAGGACTTGAAATCAGGAATGGGAGGAAAGATTTATTTTTCCTCTACACATTGTTTTGTATTATTTGTAATTTTTAATCTGGGTATAAATTACTTTTTCAAAAGAGTATTGCAAAAAATTTTTTAGATAGATGGAGAGAATGTGTCCCATTTCAGTAACTTCCCAAAAGAAAAATTTAAAAACTTCTGTTATAACTACTTTATTCTTTTTGCCCTAGGTAGGCTTTATGCTTTAATGTTAAAACTTACTCATGCCATTCATGAAATACGATGGCTTTGTCTCAAGCCTCACTCATCTTTCAAAGCTTACAAGGCTCAAAAATCACACAGCAAATCATCAAAGAATCAGGACTTAATAAGTCTATCTCAAAGTCCATAATCCATTCATTATATCATCCTGCCACCCTAAAAGCAAAGTCAAGGATGGTGTTTAATTCATTCTTCTATTCCCAATACCAAACACTCTGCAAGCACTCAACAAATTTTTTTTGAAATAACGAATGCATAAAGAGAGCTCCTTAAAGCTTGAGTAACAGCCTCATTTCTATAGTGGTTATCTAGGAGCATAGATGCACAAGACCAGTAAAAGAATCACATAACCACTTTTAGACAAAGCAAAGAATTACAGTTACAAGCTTGAATTAAAATTACAGATAAAAATAGAACTGGACTTTCTCATCTTTGAGATAATAAAGTTGCTTTGGAAAAAGAAACTGTGATGTCTTCTAAATAATAATTTGACTACTTAATATAAGTAAATTCTTTCCCTAATACACTTTTTTAATTCTAGGTCTTATATGGCTTTGTTATTTCCTTCAATGTCTACCTCAGTATTTTCTAAGGAAACAGTAACAGAGTCTTTAATTCTTAGTAATATCAACACTTTGTGACTCATGAAACATAATCATCATTTACAGCAGGACAGAAGGGACTGAGTAGAGATTAGATAAAAAATCTCTTATAAAAGAATAATACATTTAACAGCTGATTTTAATCACCTTATTCTAAAATATTCACCTAACAAGTAAGAAATTTAGTTACTACCACTTCATTCATAGTCAATGAGGGGACCCATTTGAATTTCTCTTTTGGCCAGTCTTAAAGCCATAAAACGTAGGAAGTACTACAAAGACAGAACAATATATAATTACATATTATTTTAGGTCTTGAAAAAGTGAAATAACTTATTTAAAATATCCTCAACTTAAATTGACACAAAAGTAAAATGTCTGATTCCTAAGTTCAAAAAAATAAATTATAAGCTATTAATTTTTAACTTAATATGAGAAAAATATAAGAAACAAACTTTTTTTCAGAAACTTGATTTCATTTTTTCAATATACAGGGCAAAAATAGGTTTACAGTTGTGAGTACATGAAACACAGTTTATTCCTGTATTAATATTTATTAATTATTATATTATTTATCAGTATAACTGTAAACTTAGTTTTGCCCCACCCTGTGTGACTGGGTAAAAAAATTAAATACTTTTAACACAGGTCAAGTCTTATAGTTAAAATAAACATATTACAACATCTTCAGAACAACAAATAGTGCTTTTTATATAGTTAAGATTAGAATACTATTCAAAACTTTCCTATTTTAACTACCTTTTTTGAGGGGAATATCTAGACAAAAGTAATAGAAGCTGTTTCTTATTTTTGTCTTTTTTTTAAATAATAGGTAGATTTGTAGCTCTGCCAAAACTTTTCCCTGAATTTTCTATATTCTTAGAATCTTCACAAAATAATGAATCCTTACCATTTAAATATGTGCCAAACAAACAAACAAACAAACAAACAAAACCTAGGAAGTTTCCCTGGGGGGGCGGGGGGGGGGGATAATATTAAAAACACAAATATAAAACATTTCAAAATATATACTTATAGCAAATCACCATGTTGTGTAACGTAAACTTGTATAATGTTACTGGTCAATTATATCTCAAAAAAACTGGAAAAAACTCTGTCTTTTGAGCAATATACAGAAGTATTACTAAATAATGTATCAAAAAGGACAAGCAGAGATCAGAGATTTATGACCAATGAATGCTTGGTTTAATGCTATCTAGAAATTGCACACTTCAATATGAAATCATTTCCCAACTTAGCATACATAATTTATTTTTAAATGAATCAAGTTACTCATCTTCAATTATTAAACATTTCTGCATCTTATAATCCAGTCATATATTTTATTAGCTTTTTTAAAATGTGCATTTTTAATGAAATACTGCCAAATAAGAGAACACCATGTTTTTGTATTATGTGTTAATGTAAGAATTTCTCCTTTTATAAAAGGACAATACAAACTCAAACTGTCTTTTGTTTAAAATTTCTAAAAATATTTTTATTTTAGCAGGCATATGTATGCAAGACATTAACAACATAAAACATTAAAAATGCCTGATGTTATTTAAAGACTCTCTTTAACTTTTCATTTAATACAAGGTAAATCTGAGGGAAGCCATTCTATCAATACTAAACTAAAATGTTTTCAACAACATAAAATTTTTTCTCTAGGGTATTTTTAAAACAAATAATACTATATAAGTATATTTGGAACAAATATTTTGTCCAATAAACTGATATGAAATTTGTTCAAAATCAGAATAAATTAAAGATATTTATATATTTTTCCTTTAAATATATTTACATATGATATAGTCATTCTTATTCAGGTAGAAAAAAGTAAATCCAAAACAAAACACCTTCATTAACCACATTAACCACATATACTAATTATTGAGATGACTTCTTTCATTTCTCATTAAGACAATTAAAATTTAACTACACAAACAAGACGAGTTACTATTTCATAAACTTCAACAAAATATTACAAAATTAAAAAAACACTGAGCTTTGCTGGGCTTTTATGCAAGCACATAAAATTCTTTCTTCCCCAATTTCAATTAATTTTTTTTTTAGTAAGATATCTCGTAAGTCAAATTTAACTGGAGAGTTTTAAATCTATTTTTTAAAACAACCCATCTTGAAATATTTAAAATAAGATAATAAAACATGGTTTCATATGTATTTTTCCATTACTTCCAAAATGAATTAATTTTGCCTTTTGAAATAAACTATATCATCTTCAGAACCATTAGTTAACTTACAGTGTTAGTTGGATCTTCATGTAGAATTCGATCATATAGCTGTATTGCATCATCATATCTATTTAAAAAGAAAAAGAAACATCAAGAATCATGAACTTAAAATTTAGTGACAAATAGTAAATACTGGAAAAGTTTCAACTGGCAGTGCTTTGCATGCATTTATAATTGCTATCCAAGTCACTTTTTATATTCCTATAATGGTAAGGTTTGCTATGGTGTGGGTTTTTTTTTAAAATGGAAAAAAGTATCACATAAAGTATTTCTAGAAAAAGTTACTTCAAAACATACTGATCTAATTGGGCCTAAATACAAATGTAAAATCTAGCAGCACAAAGAGATACCTTTATGATCCTCGATATACCTAGAATTACAACCAATAAAACATAAGAAAAAGTTTAATTTTAATAAATCCGTTCACAAGGAAATGATATATGTATTAATTCTCCTTTAATGAATATTTATAATAGCTTTTCTTAGTTAAACACCTACTAAGTATCCATACATAATACTTACTCTTTGCTGGGTTACAATCTCATGAGAGAAACAGTTAACAAATTTATCAAATGAAAGAATACTCACATATGACAGTAAATAACTAAAAAGCCAAAATTAACATTATGTGATAGAGATTCTAAGTAGGGATACATTAGAAATTAAATAAAAAACTTTCCTTAATTATATACTCTTACATAGGAAAACCTTGATTAGGATGCAAAGAAATAGCTGAGTGATTCTGAAATTCCTTCCTAACAATGTTCATAACCACCAGTTCCCATCCTATCAATTTCTCCACTTCTGAATAAAGATCTTTAAACAAAGCAAAAACCAATGTTTAAAAACTTTTACAGCAGTATTTCTAAAACCAGGAATAACAGATACATGTCTTAGGATCTCTTCATAAGTTCCCTATAGGACATTTTTAATTTTATATTTTTCTCTTACTGATATTTTCTTGAAGATATCTTTTAATGATAGATATGAATACTTTATATCATGTGACTCATCTTTCAACTATACAGTGACCCCAAAATTTTAGTACCCTAGTCAATGTTTGTGATTATGGTCATGCCAATAGGTAAGAATACTTTACCTGTTATTGTTATCTATAGCAGATTACTGAAAAAAATAAAAGCAGACTGAATTTGTAAATGTGTTCACTCCATGCAAAGAGCAAACCACATCCCTGCACGCTAAGTCAATTAGACTCAGCAGTAATTCAAATAAAGAAAATTAGTTTGGACATCAACTGCTTGATACTATAATAGGTCTGCTAGCCTCATAAGAATCTACAACTAAATAAGGAAATAAAATCAAATCATTAAATAATAATGAAACAAAACAGTAAAGTATGCAAAACAAGGGCAAAATTAATGCTATAGAGCAGAAATTATCACAGGACAATACATGAGAATCACCTGGGAATCTTTTCCAACTAAAATAGCTCTGAAAAAGATATCAGAAGTGACAGAGAAAGATATGAAGCCATTCATTGTTTTTATAGTTGTATAAAACCTATATACATTATATTTAAACATCTTTAAATTATACTGTAATTTAAAAAATAATTTATGTAAAAACTGAGTGTGATGGTTAATTTTATGTGTCAACTTGACTGGCCCAGATCAAACATTATTTCTAGGTATGTCTGAGGGTGTTCAGGATGAGATTAGCTTTGAATCTGTAGACTCAGCAAAACAGACTGCCTATCCAATGTGGGTGGGCATCATCCAATTCCTTGAGGGTCTGAATAGAACTAAAGTGGAGAAAGGAGGAATTTAACCCTATTTTACAGCCTCACTTCTGAGCTGGGACATCTCATCTTACCTCCCCCATCCTCAGATTGAGATTTATACCATCAGCTGCCTTCGTTCTAGCCTCTGGACTTGGACTCAGACTGAATTATAGCACCAGTTTGGCTGGATCTCCAGCTTGCAGATGGCAGATTCTGGAACTTCAAAGCCTCCAAAATCGTATGAGCCAATTCCTCATAACAAATCTCCATTTATATGTTGCTCTCTGTGTATGTATGTATGTATATGTCTGTGTGCGTGTGTCTGTGTGTGTGTGTGGGGGGGGGGGGGGCGGTTTCGCTAGAGCAGTGGTTCTCAACCTGTGGATCCCGACCCCTTTGGCAGTCAAACGACCCTTTCACAGGGGTCGCCTAAGACCATCCTGCATATCAGATATTTACATTACGATTCATAACAACAGCAACATTACAGTTATGAAGTAGCCAACGAAAATAATGTTATGGTTGGGTCACAACATGAGGAACTGTATTTAAAGGGCCAGAAGGTTGCCGAAACCAGTTTGGCTCAGTGGATAGATCGTCGGCCTGCAGACTGAAAGGTCCCAGGTTCGATTCCGGTCAAGGGCATGTACCTGGGTTGCAGGCATATTCCCAGTAGGAGATGTGCAGGAGGCAGCTGATCGATGTTTCTAACTCTCTATCTCTCTCCCTTCCTCTCTGTAAAAAATCAATAAAATATATTTAAAAAAAAAAAAAAAAAGGGCCAGAAGGTTGAGAACCACTGCTCTAGAGGATCCTAATACACTGAAGGTCAAGAAAAATTTACATTTAGTCAGCAATGTTCTGATACCTGTCTTTTTACCTGGGGGGTTTTTTAAAGAAAAATCTGGATTACACCCTCACAAACTGATTTCAGTAAAGTGGGGGCAAGGCAACTACTGATTTTTTAAAATTCCACATATTCTAATTTACACCATCATGTATGAGAATCAATGATTAATGATCCTATTTAGCAAAGACACACCTAACAGCCACTCTTTTATATAAAAAGATTAAAACTTTACTAAGTAAAATGGTGCTACAAGTTTCAATTAAAAGAAAACACATAATTGTATATGATAAAAGGCTAATATGCAAACCGACCGAATGGTGGAAAGACTGGTTGCTATGATGCACACTGATCACCAGGGGGCAGACGCTCAACACAGAAGTTGCCCCCTGGTGGTCAGTGCGCTCCCACAAGGGGAGCACTGCTCAGCCAGAAGTCCTGAGCCAGGCTCACAGCTGGTGAGCACAACAGTGGTGGTAGGAGCCTCTCCCACCTCCATAGTAGTGCAAAGGATGTCCAACTGATAGCCCAGGCCCACTCCCTGGGGAGTAGGCCTAAGCCGGAAGAGGGACATTCCCGAGGGTAGAAAAAATAAGCACATAAAGATGGCTTGCATTCTGTCCCTGACCTGACCTCAGATTCCTGGACTGTGAGAGGGTGCAGGCCAGGCTGAGGGACCCCCCAAGTGCACGAATTTCGTGCACTGGACTTCTAGTCTATATAATAAAAGTCTAAGTGACCATTACAGCAGAACCAGAATGACCGTCGCCATGATGTGCACTGACCACCAGGGGGCAGACGCTCAAAGCAGGAGCTGCCCCTTGGTGGTCAGTGCACTCCCACAGGGAGAGCGCCACTCAGCCAGAAGCTGGGCTCACGGCTGGCTCCTCCTCCGCGGCAGCTCTAAGGAGCAGCAAGCCAAGCGGTAAGGAGCAGCGAGCAGGCGGGTGGTAAGGAGCGATGGGTCCCAGACTGCGAGAGGGCGCAGGCCAGACTGAAGGACACCCCCACCCAAGTGCACAAATTTTGTGCACCAGGCCTCTAGTAATAATAATAATAATAATAAGGCTTAGCCCTGGCCGGTATGGCTCACATAGCTGGAGCATCATCAGGTCATATGCCCACGTTTCAGTCGAGGTGTGTGCAGAAGGCAACTGATGGGTCGATGTTTCTCTCTCTCTTCACCTTCCTCTCTCTAAAATCAATAAAAACATTTTTTAAAAAGGCTTAAAGAAATTAAAGTTCACTGAGTTTCTTAGAAAACCTGAAGTAACACTTAACAATAAGTTCTTGTTACCATATCAATATTTTTTTTGGTTGGAAAGGAATAGTAAATATTAAAAACTAGTACCACTCAATCCCTCACAACATAATTTTAAAAATCATTCATCTTGGACTATGGAATGTATTCTGCTATTCATATATTTTAAGAATGGTTTAGGGACTCATATTACTTGAGATAAAACAAAAAAAAAATTATTAGAGCAGCACACTGATTCAGGAGCAATCTTTTCAGATTTCTTCCATTCTGTCCTGATTCAAAATTAGTTTCTGCTAACCTAAACTAATACTATTTTATTTACTTTTTTATCTATATCCTTTGCTAACTCACAGAGAGGATACAAAGAGATTAAAATGTACACTCAACAAACATATAAGTCCAGGAGTGAAGGAGTTGAGAAAAATTATACCAATAAATCCAGCTTAAAACAAACTACTGCAATTGAGGTACAAGTTAATTGTCTTACCTGAAACAACAAGCTAAAAAGGCGAAAATAAGCTGATCTTAAAATACATGCATAAATTCAAAGGATTCAAAATAGTCAAAATAATCTTGGAGAGAAAAAACACACAAAGCTAAAGAATTCCCAATGCCCAATTTCAGAACTTAATACAAAGCCACAATATCAATAGAGTGTAGAATCAATATGGTGCAATATATGATAAGCCCAGAATTCAACCCTCACATTTATATTTAGTTGTTTTTAACAAGGGTGCCAAGACAAATAAGGAAAACATAGTCTTTTCAGCAAATGGTGCTGGGACACCTAAATATTCATATGCAGGAAAATGAAGATGGACACATACTTCAAACCATAAAAAATATTAAATCAAAATGAGTTAAAGACCCAAATGTAAAAACTAATACTATAAAACTCTTAAAAGATAGGCATAAACTTTGTGACCTTGGATAAGACAATGGTTTCTAGACATGACACCCAAAGTAAAAGAAAGAAAAAAAAATAAACCGGACTTAATAAAAGATCAAAAAATTTGGTAATCAAAGGATACCACTAAGCCAGTGATTTTCAACCAGTGTGCTGTGGCCCACAGAAAATTTTCAAACATGCAGTACCTGACTATTAAGTCAGAAACAATGACTTCTTTTTCCTTAGATTGTCAAATAAAAAAATGGCAACAGCCAATATAACAATAGCCATCTGTGTGAATGAATCAAAATTATACCTTTTTTTGTCAGATCAACAAAAAATATATATTTTGGTGTGCTGCAAAATTCTAATAATTAGTTTATGTGTGCCTTGAGATGAAAAAGGTTGAAACTGCTACACTAAGCAAATGAAAAGAGTGTGAGACTATTTTTGCAAATCATTTATCTGATAAGTACCTTGTATCTAGACTATATATAAACAACTTTTACAACTAAATAATAAAAAGACAAATAACCCAATTTAAAAACAAAGAAGATATAGAAATGGTCAATAATTTTATGAAAAGATGTTCAATATTTCTGGTTCCTGGAACAGCATGTAAAAATATCATGGAAGCTGTCACTCCCATCCACACAAGAAAAAAAGCTAAATTGGACAAACCAATAACTCTCTAGATCCATCAGAGAATTAAAGTCACAGGTCAAACCACTGCCCCCAAAATTAAGACATGTAAACACAGATAATCACAGCTTACTGTAGCAGGAAAACAGGACATAAGTGTTGACAAGAATATGGAGAAAAGAGAACCCTTGTGCACTGTTTGTGGGAATGTAATTTGGAACAACAACTATGGAAAACAGTATGGAGATTCCTTAAAAAAATTAAAAATAAAATTACCATTTAATCCTAGGTCCACTTGTGGGTATTTATGTGAAGGAAACAAATGCACTCTCTTAAAAGATATATGCATCCCCATGTTCATGAAAGCATTGTTTACAATAGCCAAAACATGGCTCAACCTAGGTGTCCATCAACAGATGAATGAGATCGTGACATGTATACAATGTAATATTATTTACTCATAAAAATGATGGAAATTCTGCCATTTATGGCAACCTGGATGGACCTTGAGGACATTATGCTAAGTGTAGTAAGTCATACAGAAAGACAAGTACTATATGATCTCACTTGCATGTAGAATCAAAAAGAACCTGAATTTACAGATCAAGAAAGCAGATTGGTGGTTGCAGAAGTGGGGGTGGGGCTGGGGGTGGGAGTGTGTGAAATGGGTGAAGAGGATCAAGCTTCCAGTTATAAATAATTAACAGCATGGTTACTATAGTTAACAAGACTGTATTATAATTGAAAGTTACTAAGAGAGCAAATCTTAAAAGTTCTTATGACTATGGGTGGTGATGGATAACTACTTACTATAATCGTTTCATTATACATATATATCACATCATTACGTTGTATACCTGAAACTAATACAAAGGTATATGCCAATCATATCTCAATAAAAAAATTATTAATAATAGCTTCTATACCTTGAGTGCCTATGAGGGTCCTACACATATATTTGTAAGTCCCCCCAAAATCCTGAGAAGTTGGTAATATTCTTGCTTTACAGAGGAGTGAAGCCAAAAAACCTTAAAGTTAAATAATTTGCTAGGTAAACAGCTAATAAATCCTAAAACCAAGATTAGCTGAAGCCAATTCTTATTCCAAAATATAATCTATTTCATTAGCCCAGAGATGGGAAGTGGATTACACTTTTATGTCAAATTCTATTTACTGGGAGTAAAGGCCAGGATTTATGCTGAGATTACTCTGAATCTCAGGAGCAAGAGATTTTGCACAATCAATGATGCTGCCATAAGCATAGGAGAACATAAAGATAGGCCTCATATTTGCTGTTTTCAAATGGGACCACACTATTTACAAGACTCAGTTACCTTTCCATGGCTTCAAATCTCATGCCAGTTAGTCGCTTGACTCTGTGACTGCCAGGGAACTGTCTTCTCAACTCCTGAAGACAAAACTAAAAAAATAATTGGTAAACAAGACTTGAAAAGTAGTAATTATATTACATACACCAAATGAACTACAAATAATGACCTACAAAAGTCTTCAATGTATCTTCTTAAATAATATCACTAGTGTAATATAATGAAGTGATATTATCTAATGAATAATGGGATAAAAGGAGAAATCTGAATTATAGTGAAAGAAATCATCAGTTCTCAGACACTAATCATACTGATAAGTAGGAAAATAAGCAGATCATGTGTCCACTAATAACTTCAAATACTACCACCATATTACTTCTCAAAAATTGCCTACATAATGTGTTAAGCACCATTTAAATGTCCACCACAGTTTCCTGGCATTTTCTTCCTAACGATGCATAAAGATTCTTTAGATAAAAATTAAGTTCTTTGGTAGCACTTTTAAGTCCCTGGCAACTACTACTAATACTTTGCTTAATATTTCTCTGTTGAAATTATAATAATCTTGTCAGTACAAACATCCTGATTTGGGTCCGGGAGGAGCCTGCAACGTAGGTACATGCCTTTGACTGGAATCGAACTCAGGATCCTTCAGTCTGCAGGTTGACGCTCTATCCACTGAGCCAAACTGGCTAGGGTGTGTGCGGGATGCAACCAATCAATGTCTCTCTCTCACATTGATGTTTCTCTCTCCGTCTCTCCTCATCCCCTCCACTCTCTTTAAAAATCAATGGAAAAATGTCCTCAGGTAAGGATAAACAAAAAACAAAGAAACAAACAAACAAAGAAATAATTGTGAAAATTAAAGAAAGCATGATGTAAAGCATTTAGCATAGTACCTAGCAGATACGCGCTCAAAATATAGCTATTATCACTCTCTATTTTAAAAGCAGCATTAGTAATTTAAGTCATGCTCTGCAAATGTTAGGATTTTCTAATAGTTCAAGGTATACATTTACAATATTACAAAACAGTGTAACAACATATACTATGAAAGATATTCAATAACCCAAAAGATAAACTTGTTTTAAATTATCTACTTCTCATTACATACTCTATAATATAGCATAATTCAACCAGTAAGCAGATAACCTTCAACTAATTTATCCTCTTCAGTAAAACTGGAATACTAAATATCTACTTCTCAGGAATGTTAAAAAGATGTGAGAACATACTGTGTTCAAAGTACCCAGTTAGGCCTACCTACCCTTAAGAGTAGCATTGAAAACCAGCTGTAGAAAGCATTCTATACAAGCCATATACTAAGTCTTATACATATAATCCATGAAGCATATTAAATATAAAATAAAATTAGTTTAAATACCTACCAATGCCAAGTCATCCCGACCATAGTCTAGAGCTGCAATCATCACCTGTTCATATATGATCCAAACTAGATACATAGAGAGAGAAAAAAACTAAATTTACTATAAAATCTCCCAACAGAAACTAGATAATGAATTCTTCCTGTTTGGTATTTTAGAGAAAAGTACTTATAACTGAAAATTATTTAGTGTATTTTATCAGCAATTAAGAAAAGAAGGTATCCTTATATGCTTCAGCAATGTAAAATATTTAAGTATCTTATCAAGTAAAAAAAAAATTTCCAATTATCTAATACCTTTACTGTTCTAAAGGATTCTTTATGAAATACATTTTGAACAGACTAGATTGCAGCCCTGAGCTTTAAAACAAAAACGCTTATTTGATGGCTTTACTACTAACAGAAATTATAAAGCCTTCCCAAAATAAAGTATTAGTCTTCCTGAGAAGTTTTTAATAAGTGACAATCACAGATAGATTGCTATAAACACTAGAAAAAATAAGATTTTTTTAAAAAAACTAAGAATGGTAAATAGACATGTGCTAAGCATAAATATAATAAGTTAAAAAACTTACTATCATCTCCAAGCTTAGAAGCATATTCATTAATTAATTCCTCTCCAACTTCCACAATTTGCTCACTATTTCTTGAGTTTTCATCTCTCCATTTTCTCATTTTATCTCGCATTTCTGAAAACAAAAAACTTGTTATAATGTGTGTGTGTATATATATTTGATCAATGTCAAAATCACTAAAATGAAGTCAACTTTTTTGATAAAGAAAATAAACTCACACTAATATAAAAGTCCATGTATCTCAAAGTTCATAAAGCAGAATACCAATTTAATAAGACAGACAGATCCTTTGGAAGACTACAAATATATAATAATGCAACTACCTTTAAAAGTAATGAATGGCAGTCCACTACAAAGATCCTCTATCCCTTTAAGCAAATGTATCTTAACATTTTTGAGATTCTAGAAAATGTTCAGAATTTGACAAAAGCAAGGGATTATTTTCCCAAAAAAATGCATAAAATTATACATAGAAATCTCAAAAATTCAAGGTGTTCCTGAAGTTAATCCACTGACTCAAGAACATAAAATTTTCATAATCAGGAAATAATAGTAGCCCTTTAAGAAGCAGACTGCCCATGAACTAGAGACTAAAAGAGAAAAATTGATTCCCATCTGTCAAATATCTCATTTACCAATGGTCTTCAATTTTCATCAGTCTTACTCTACTTATTCATAACCAAACTATTATTGAAATAACTTTCTAGGCCCAAGATGGAGCCACTTTTCTCCAGGTGCCATGCTAGCAAACTAAAACTTAAATAACTCTCAAGTCCCTGTAAATGCTCCACTTGATCAGAAATGCAGCATATCCTATCAACTGGAGAAAAAAAAAGGAAGTGAAATCTCATGGGATGTTCAATAGGATCTGTTACCTCAAATGTCTTGTTCAGTACCGTGTCCTCAAGAACTAGAACAGTGCCTGGTACAAAGTACTCAAATATATGTTTAATTAACATGCTATTTAGCATATCGGCTAAAGCTAGGTGTGGTTGAGATTGCCCAAAGAAGACATTTAACCTTTTTTAGATCTCTTTGAAGTTATGAGACCTTTGAATTATTTTTTTCCCCAAAACAAGTACATGTTTACATACACTCAATTTTGCATATAATTTCAGGGAATTCATGGACCACTTAATACCTATGCCTACATCAGTAAGGAGCCTATATATCTCCAGTCTAATGTAACCATTGATAATAAATTAAGAAGAGGATTAAGGAAAGAAGCATTGGAGACACAAAAATTAAAATGTAAGTAGATGTAGAGGAAAGCAAAGGAAAGGTCTAAGAAAATGAGAACCTTAATGTTATTAAGAAACCAAGGAAAGAATTTTTCAGAAGGGGGGAATCTGCAATGACAAATGTAGTATAGATGTACAAAAACACATAAATCTGGCATTAGGTCTCCCCAGAAACCTTGCTGGAGTGATAGAGCAGGGAAACCAATTTGTGGTTGTTTTAAGGACTGAATAAAAAGAGAGTAAGTAGCCCTAGCCGGTTTGGCTCAGTGGATAGGGCGACCGGCTAGGAACTGAAAGGTCCCAGGTTTGATTCTGGTCAAGGGCACATACCTCAGTTGCAAGCTTGATCCCTGGCCCTTGAACCGGTGCATAAGGGAGGCAACCAAGCTCTCACAGGGATGATTCTATCTCTCCCCTCCTTTCCACTCTCTAAGAAAATCAATGGAAAAATATTCTCGGGTGAAAAAGAAAAAAAGAGAGGAAGAAGAGACACTATGAACAACTAAACTGCCTTTATTTCACAAATTTTTTCACCAAATATTTATTTAGTGCCTACTAGATGCCAGGCATTGTGCAAGGTATCCTATCCATACCCTGACCAAATACCCTAACCTCAATGAACCCTCCTTATAAGTCTGTCCCACCTGCAAATCACTAAATAATAACTCCTCTAATAAACCTCAATAATTTTCAACTGGCTGAATAAATAAACCATATATCCTACTTTTTTAATAGAACCTAATAGAGACTAGGAGAACGTTAGATGTACTATATAGGGTTTTTATAAACATGTGATCACTTCTCCTATAACAAGATTTACAGTACTCTTTGAACTAACCATTTCCACAACTTTAATTCATGATACGATTCAAAGGAATTCTTAAGGACCTAGGTCCAACTGACAGCCCTCATAGAAATATATAAAGAAATTATTCCAACACTAGAAAAATTACTTAGTTTTTTTTGGTAACAGTTTATTAATGTTTATTATTAATCTAATTAACAATTCATTTAGTCAGCAAATAAATACTGAGTTCCTCACATAAATCAAGCACTAGAACCAGAGGCCTGGTCCCTCCCTCCATTCTAGGAGAGAGAAAATTTTACAACTTAACACAACTGGGCAAGTGCTTCACGAGTATAAAAACACATAGTTAAAGGAGGAGGGGCAGGTTTTGTTGCTTTTTTGATTTTGTTGTTTTTCTTTCCCTTTTTAAAATTTTGGAGGGATGGGGAAGAGCTGTGGGATAGTCAAGGAAAAACTCTTTAAAATATATGACTGTTGTGGGAAATTTTGAGAAATGATGACGTAAAATGGGGACAAGAGTGGGACAATGACGAAAGAACACTCCTGGTGGAAGGAACAGCATGCGCCCAGCCCTAATACAAGAGGCGCAGGGCACATTTCGGGAATTCAACAAAAGGCAGCACTGTCGGCTCGGAGAGACAGAATAGTTTAAGACAAAGCTAGAGACCTAGGTGGGAGCCAGATCATTTTTCCTAAGCACTTAGTTTAAAAGCACTTTCACCTGTTTTCGCTCTTGTTCCTCAACAAACTTGTGACATAGTTATTATTTTAGAATGCCCACAGGGTAGTCCAAGTTACTCAGTTAAATCACCCTGTCGGCTGGTACATACCTACTCATTCCTTAAGATTATATACATGATACTACCACCTAAGGAACTTATCTTGAACAAAGTTTCCAAACAGCACTTTCTAAAAACAAAAAGCATGATACATTCACATTTTCAAAAAAACATTAAAAATAACAGCCACCTATCTACCATCCAGCCTAAGAAACATGTCCTGAGAAGCCTTTTATAACTACATATTGACAGCCCTGACCGGTTTGGCTCACTGGATAGAGCCTTGGCCTGGGGACTGAAGGGTCCCAGATTCGATTCCGCTCAAGGGCTTGTACCTTGGTTGCAGGCACATCCCCAGTAGGGAGTGTGCAGAAGGCAGCTGATCAATGCTTCTCTCTCATCGATGTTTCTAACTCTCTATCCCTCTCCCTTCTTCTCTGTAAAAAATCAATAAAACATATTTTTAAAAAAACACAAAACTACATATTGACAGGTTTGTCTTCATTCGACTGTGAACTCCATGAAGGTAGGGACTGTATGTTGCTTAATTTCTTATACCCAAGATATAGCACTAAGCGCTTTTCTTGTTTAATATCATGGAATTCTCCGATACGGGTAGCAACACTGAGACTCACGGTGGGCTGGAGGCCACAAAGCCAATAATCACTGAATTAGGTTCAAGTATACAGGAATTTTACCTTTCCCCATACATGTTTGCAACTTTGTGATCTGATCCTGGAGAGGTTTATTCACCAGGGGTGAATACAACTTTCAGGACACAGGTGATCAGGCCATTGTTTAACCACTGAAACACGGCATTCCTTGAACACACAAGCTGTGTAAGTCTCCTGTTAAACGCTGGGAAGATGAATTTCAAATACAGGTATTTCCTGCGCTAGAGAAACTCAAGGCTCTTCTCTCAAGCATGTTTCCGGCTCAAGTTTTCCACAAGGGAAAACAACTCTGTTACAGAACTGGCCCTAAGTTTGCTTCCCGACTTAAAGAACACACGTCACCTAACATTAAACCGGGATGGGGAAGAGGTCCAGCTCCCGTGAGCACATGCCCAAGGTACCAGTCCTTTTTCCCTTCCGAAAAGACATTCCTGCGGGAGTAAGATGGACGTTCTGCTGTGTATGTAGATGTGTTCCGGGGAGGAGTGGGACCAGGAGTCATTAAAAAGGGAAGATGTCAGAACTCCAGCTTTGCAGAGGAAACGAGACGTAAAGCAGCAAGCAGAAGAATGAGATCTGTTCACGGGTCTCCCACACACCTTTTCTGCACCAAGTTGTAACCCTTCCTCCATGGCGCTCAATGCAAGGGCCTTCCAGGTCCTGTACTTCTTGGCTGCAGGAACCTCCCCGCCCTCCCCGTGCCGCCCAGGAGCCCCGGGTCCCTCCCGCCTCAAAACAGAAGCTGCCCTGGTCCCCTGAATTGGTCTTGTCTCTCGCTGAACACAAGCGGTGGGGACCCCGCAGACACCGGTGGGCGGCCGGGCCACGGTACAGGTCAGCCTCCACCTCCTCCCTGGCCGCTACCTCCACTCAGCCGGCGCAGAGAGCAGAGAGCTCAGCTCTCCAAGGGCACCAGGTGTCCCGCACCCGTTCCCAGGGCTTCCGGTCTTTCCGCGCCCGCTCCGCCTGTCGTTACCTTCCCAAGTGACATCGTAAAGCTCTGACACCTTCGCCATCTTCTCAGAGCCTAGAGGCAGCTGTGGGGAGGGGGCGGAGACACGCGGTCACGTGACGAATTACGACCCCCACTTCTCATTGGTTGTGAAAGCGCAGGGGGCGGGATCCGCGGCGCACGTGCGCGCGGCTTTGCGGAGGGCCTGTCGGGCCAGGGGGCGGGGCGAGCTGGGCGGCGCGCGGGCGGTGCCGGGACGTCGAGGACGCCCATGCCGGGTAAGGGGGCGGGGCGAGCGGCGCTGGGAGGTGGAGGACGCTCTGGCGGCTGAGCTTGATGGGCGTGAGGTGTGTGTTTTACCACGGAGTTTTAATGAATGCGGGATTTTAAATGTGTGCACTTCCGGCTTTTCGCTTTTCTCCGCCTAGGTGTGTTTAGTCTCTTCCTACTCCCTAATCAGTTCCTTGTTCTCATGGCCTGCTGCAGCGCCACGTTCTGCCCGAATCCCTTATTTGCCCCCAACTTTCCTTCTTCCTCAGCGGCATCTCTCTCCATTTATTTTTTAATGTTCGGCTAAGCCGATACTCTCTAAGTTTTTCCTTAAGTCTCTTTGAGGGACAAAGTGGGATTCGGCTGTTGCCTATTACGTACTGTGGACAAAAAGGGGCCGCATGCTTACCTGACTCCCTCAGGGAAGGCCTGGGTGGGGCCTTGCAAACTCACATACCTGAAGGAACCTCAAAAGATGGTCCGAAGTTAGAACTGATTTAACTAAGCAGCTTGTGGTGGGTAGTCCTGTCCCAGGTGGGTAGCTTCCCTGACAAAGGTCAGGCTTTACCTTAACGGAGCCTATCTGTTGTCTTTTTGCATCTACAATAACATATCGTTGCAATATCAAAAGTAATTTTCCTTTTCCCCGGACCCTTCAAAGCATAGGCACCACTCAAGGGAAACCACAAATCCTCTCGTTGTTATTAATTATTGGCTGTTAACTATCCTGTACCCACCTGTGTAAAAGAAGCCTGTGTCTGTCATTTTACTTTTCATCCAATCCCAGAGGTTTCCCCCACCTCCCTAATCGATCACCAATGGATTTCATGAAACCCACATACGTCTCCTCTTTTGATTGTAATGTACACAGTAAGGTGCAAAACGGCCATTCTCAGAGCATTATCTCCATCTGTTGAGATTTTGCTTCCCAGCAGTTGTGGGCAGTTTGGCTCAAATAAGCTCATTGACATTCTTCACGGGTTTGCATGTTTCTTAAATTGACAGGACCTGTGGCCTAGGCTTTCTTTATGCCCCATGCAATGTCTTTGTGCCACCCCATAGCCTTAACACTCCTCGGATCAGTCTGCCTGTCACTCTAGATTTGAAACTCCATGAGAGCAGCCAATATGTCAGTGCTTATGAATAAGTGAAATACTGAATAGATGTACAAATGAGACCGTCACAAACCCTACACTTTGCTCCTCTTAACCTCACAAGGGAGCCTCCTTCCCTACCTTTCCCACCTGGCTAATTGCTATCAGGAACCTTTGGATCTAGCCAGGGAGAAATGTCTGGAGTGGAAGCCAAAAATTTGGAAGTCATAAGCATGTATTTAGTATTTGAAGCAATGAGAACATGAAATTATAAAGGGGGGAATATGTAAAGTGAGGAAAGAAGGCTAAATATTCCTGCATAACAGCCATGGTTAAGAGTTCATGAAAAAAGGGAATCAACATTGAGAAAGAAAAAGAGTCCTATCCCACAAGCTCAGGAAGTAGAGTTAAAAAAAAAAAAAAAAAAAAAGCAGCCAATTAATTTTACCTCTCCCAACTTCTTACCATATAGTATGTGGCATACACATACAAATTAATATTTGTACTAAATTGTTGATGCCCAACATTTCTTTTGAGGAGGTAAAAGGCCTACAGCGATTCTCAACCTGTGGGTCACGACCCCTTTGGGGGCCGAACGACCCTTTCGCAGGGGTCGCCTAAGACCATCGGAAAACACATATATAATTACATATTGTTTTTGTGATTAATCACTATGCTTTAATTATGTTCAATTTGTAACAATGAAATTGGGGGTCACCACAACATGAGGAACTGTATTAAAGGGTCGCAGCATTAGGAAGGTTGAGAACCACTGGCCTAGAAGATTTCTTTTAAAAGTGTGCAATGGATATCAATTAATGGTTACAACTAATTGAGGGTGTAAATATTTTCTAGTCACTTAAATGCCCTTATAGCTAGCTACTTATTGTCTATTATGCAATAAATCATATTTGACACTAGGTTGAAAAAGGTCATTTTCAGAATTTTTGAGCTGGAATATAATCTCATTGTAGGCTTAGAACAGTGGTTCCTAACATGGGGCACACCCCACAGGGAGGCAATTTGATTTTTAAGGGGGGCAATGAGTTATTAACAATGAATTTTTTGCATTTCTTATGGTTCTAGGGGCCTGGTGACATGTTTATGCACTTCAGCATTATATGTTTTGAAACTTTATTTTCTATTCTTTCATATCACTTCATATTATTATTTTTTTTTTAACAATTCCTTAGTGATTTCTTCCTCAGCACTTCAACTATCCTTTTGTTCTTTTGTTTTTCTCTTTCATGGATGCCATGTTCTTTGGAAACTTGTTTAAATCAAGTTCATGGCCTTTTAGGCTTTCTCCACATGAATAGGAGTTCACTTTTTGAATAATAAGATTTATATGTCACGTGGGGAGGGGCATCAGGATTTTAGAGATGCTTAGTTGGGGCATGGCCATAAAATGGTTGGGAACCACTGGCTTAGAAGGTACTTATGATTCTTTGGAACAATATTAAAGTTTTCTGCTTGCAGCCATAGTAAGGAATACATTTTATATCATCATACAGTATATATACATATATTTAAAGCTAAAAATTTACAAACTAGCTTTACAATATGTCTGGTCCTCTATATTTTCTACTTAAATTGAGTCAATTCCATTTTTATAAAAATACTAGTTGTGCCCCACTAATGGGGTAATGACTCATATTTTGAAAAATCACTAATGGACACTGTGTATGTTTCCTAATCTGAGACCCTGAAGTGACATGATTTTTCTCAAGTTCTTGCCACTAATAGGTAACAAAAATGGGAAATTCACATGTAGGAGATGAGTTATTTAGTTAATGGATGAAAAATGAAGTTTTTATAGGAAAAATGTTTTTAAGGGAACATTGGTCACCAATAGTACTTTCTGAAGTAGGGAAAGTGATTGTTTCCATATAGTAACATTTCAAATATCTAATAAAACCTGCCTTCCTCAGGCACACTCATGAAAAAACTGGTATGTTAGTGACATTATTCTTTTTTATAGTCTTCTTTAAATTTTTTAATGTAATTATAACTAAATAAAAAGAAATATCTTTTATAGATAAAACCATAACCCTGAAAACATAAACATTATGTTTTCTATAAACCTACCTTTACAAGATGTTCTCAAAGTTTTGCCTTTGCCATCTTATTCCTTTGAAAAAGAGTTTTCATTCATGTATGTTAAAAAATATATAATATAGTTTCTCTGATTGAACACTGCCCAAAATGGTGACAAATATCAAGGTAATATCAAAGTAGCTAAATATTAGACTGCAGTTTTAGACACCATTGGAAATACTATCTCATTTAATAATCTTTAAAGCACCATGAAAAGGGTACATGACTATGGTCTATGACAGGGGTCCTCAAACTACGGCCCGCGGGCCACATGCAAATACAAATATTGTATTTGTTCCCGTTTTGTTTTTTTACTTCAAAATAAGATATGTGCAGTGTGCATAGGAATTTGTTCATAGTTTTTTTTTAAACTATAGTCCGGCCCTCCAACGGTGTGAGGGACAGTGAACTGGCCCCCTGTTTAAAAAGTTTGAGGACCCCTAGTCTATGATGTGCTTTTTTTTTTTTTAAGGTGAAGCTTTTTTCCCCCTTCATGATCATGTTTGAATAGTTAAATGATAATACATTAGAATGAACCAGGGTCAGAAAGGAATAACTTTGAATAAGCCTACATTTTCTTTGAGATGGGATAAGCTTTGATTATTTATCAAGCCAGATTGATCCACAAAACACTCTAGAGTGCTTCTTTGTTATGGCCAGCGTTTACTTAATTAAATTTATATTTTCAGACATTATGAAAGACTAAAACAACCTCTTTAATTTAATAAAACTGTGACATTTATAAAATGGACATTGGTTCTTGCCGGTGTCTCTCAGTGATTGGATGTCAGCCCACGCACTGAGGGCTCGCGGGTTTGATTCCCAGTCAAGGGCACATACCTGGGTTATGGTTTTTGCTTCCCAACCCCTGGTCGGGGCACCTGCAGGAGGCAACCAGGTGATGTGTCTCTCTCACATCAATGTTGCTCTCTTTTTCTCTCTTTCCCTCTTCCCACTCTCTCCCTCTCTCTCCTCCTCCCTCCTTCCCTTCCACTCTCTCTGAAAAGCAATGGAAAAAAACAGTGAGGATTAACAAAAATAATAAAATAAAGTGGACATTATATTTAATTGGCCATCGTAGTTGATTTTGCAGTAGTCAGCATCTTTATCAAATCTTTTATTTAGAACCTACTATCTGATTTGTTCTGTCTTAGTCATAGTGAAATAAAGTATCCCACATTATGTAGCATAGTTTATAATCTTTATTTACTTTGACAATTACCCATCTAAGTAAATTGGTCTCACTACAACTCATGAAATTTACCATAGCTTTTAAATCATGTTAATGTTTCTAATTAGTGAATCATAACCATATCCCTTTGTATTTAAGGGAAAATATTAACTTATTTTGTCTTCGTTCCATGTCAATAGATTTTCACTGTAACACATTCACATTTGTAAGGAAGTTTTTCTTAGAGTTTGCTTTACCAAAAGCCAGATTAGCATGGAATTGTTTTAGGAACCTTTTGAACATTGTTTTTTATTACATTTTTAAAACATTATGTAACTTAATATGTAACCAAAACACAAGAGCCTATGCCCCCTTTGCTGACACAACCATAGCATTTAAGCACTTTTAGTTTTTCCAACTTTGCCATCATTT